AGTAAGCGCAGGCAACTAATGGAGAGGAAAAAAAAAACAAATCAAATACATATACGTTTTTTGGTCACAGTTATTCTAAATCATCGCACACATTTTCTTTTCTGCGGAAAATCAACAGGATGCGGACATATGGGTATAGTATTATAATAAATAAGAATTTTTGTAAAAATTTGTTGTGCAAGTGACCCATATTTGCGAAAATATTGAAGAAGTTAAATTAAAGTTGTAGCAAAAACATATTTGATTGCGATTAACACTGTCAAAGCTGTTAAGTTTATAATTTGCGCATCTTGAAAAACTGGCTAGTTCAAGAGGAAGTGTTGAGGTGATTTCACTTTTTCGACCAGCGTTCGATTTGCTGACACATGTAGTCCACATGTAGTACTCCCTTTTTTTCTCGGTGTGAGCCTAGTTCCTTTCCGACCAGTTTATCTGCCATTCTGTTACTTGCAATATAACTGTGACCTCGCATTCATATACACAAGTCTTACCAGAAAATATTTTTGTGCGACCGAAAGAGAGTTGAGGCATTCGAAAGTTGCTTTGAGCGCACTTTGAGCATGCCAAACTCTACGGCTGTTGCTTGACTATCGAAATGGATATTTTACTTGAACTATTTTGAAGCGAATTTCTGTCACCCCTTTTCAAATTTGGTTTGAAGACAAACCGGTTTCGGCGTTGCGCCATGGTCAGTGTAGTTTTTCGTTCTGGTTAATTCTTGTTGGTTGTTCGTATTTTTACTCCTTTTTATACCTTTCATGAGCACGAAATATGTGTTATACCTTTGGTCCGATGTTTATAAGTACCAGAATAGGAAGACATAGACCCACTAAAATATACACCTATTTGATCAAAACGTCGAGCTGAGTCGATTTAGTCATGTCCGCCTGTCCGTCTGTTCATCTGTTTGTATGCAATCTAGTCTCTCAGTTTTGAGATATCAGGATGAAATTTGGCAAATGTGTGTGTTTTTATAATGTATTAATCATTTGTCGGAACCGGAAAAATCGGACCACTATAACATATAGCTCCCACAGAACTGATTGTTCAGATATAAGATTTTTCGTTATAACTCCTCCATTTATGTAGCTAGGAACATGAAGTTTCGCACTATTTTCACTGATTATCAACAGAAGACTTACAGTGAAAATTACGAAAATCTGGTCACCACAACATATAGCTCCCATACAACTGATTGTTGAGAAATGAGATTTTTCGTAATTTCAAATGCAGTAATCTGTTAAAGTAAAATTTTCTGATGTTCCTGAAAGGTAGTGTTAAGCCTTCGGCATAGTCGAAGACAGCACTGCTCTTACTTATTCTATGCCTGGGTATGTCTCTTTCGTTTGCGGTGCTCAATAAGCAGATTAATTGTTATAGGCCAGCAGGTAGAAAGAAGTGCGTGATTTTTAACTTCATTGTTTTTAATGGGCGTTTTTTCCAGGAGCTCTTGCCTGCATTTCAATTCTTACTGCCTTATAGTTCTGGATTCAACGTACTTTTTATATATACAGTAATTCGGGATCTCTAATTCCAGAAGTCCCGAGCACTTTTTTGAGGCCCGAAATCCCGGGACAAGTCCGGACTAATTTGGGATAATTTTGGGATTAATTCAGGATTATTTTAGAACCATTTTGGGACTAGTAAGGGACCATTTTCAGTACTATCCTTTTTTATTTTTCTTTTCCCGTATCAATAATTATATTCGAATTAATATCCATGGGCACAATCGCCTTTTAAATTTATTTTACTTGCTACAAACTTTGCTGGAAAAAAATAAAACTAACATTAAATGCTTATGTATAAGAACTAAATGCATATGTGCACACACACGCAACTGCACTCAACGAATTGTGTAAGTAAAATGCTCTGAGCATTGCTGTTCCATTGCACCTATGCAGTGATATAGCAGTACTTTATTAAAAAATTCTGCGTTCTTCTGAGAAGTAATTCTGAGAAGTAATAACTACGTCGCCTTAAGCATTTTCAATTTTTTTACTATCTCAAAGCAGTTTCATATCCTCGAACTTACGACAAGTTTACTCAATCAAAAGTTATCCTACATTTTTCACTCTAAACCCATGCTAATCTTTTCACTTTAAAAAGCTTTACTACTGCCTGCAGCAGCTGCTCATACATATTTTTTCACTTAGCACTTCCTGAGTGTACTATGCCTATACTTAGGTATTTAAATATTACAAATATGAGCATATTCCTTTTTTATTTTATATGTGCATAAGTATATATGTACATATTTACATCATACATAGTTGCTTATTCGTTTCAATTTCCAATTGTAACAACTATGTATAACAAATTTTTAATACTCTTTTTGTTGGCAAAAATTCTTGATTACGTCGCCAGAGAGAAGGGCAAATTATACTAGCCAGTTTCGCAAAAGCAATTTAAGTGAAAAATTATATTTTTGTTGTTTCGATATGAAAACTAACAGAAGGGGAAAAATAAGTTTTCGCTAAAAATTTGCTGGTGAAACCGGCAGCTAAGGTAAAATATGTTTTTTGTTTTTATAAAAATATTTTTCCAGTGATACGAGCACGTACTTAGTAGTCTAACTGGCACATTGAAAATCAATTAACCTAACAAGGCGTATCTACAGCTTGTTACGTGACAGAGCTGTCGTGGCGTAGTGCAGAAGCGTAGAGTCAATAGGGGCACTCCGAAAGGTGGTGTTCTCTCTCTCCTCAGGAAAAAGTGGGAACTGGGAAAATCGGATGATTAACTGGTTCGAAAACTGAACACGCTAGAGTTCTGGAGGGCTTTGACTTCGTCTCTTAACACATAGATTACAGTGTCTCTGAAATGGCTCCCATTAGCTTCTTCGCTACATATATTCCCTCAAAAGAGGACTGGGTATGAGGCGGGGTTACTAAAAGAAGGGATCGGTAAACTTCTTCGCGGATGGCTCAAAACTTGCAGACAGGGTTGGTGAAGGTGTCTTCTATCGGGAACTCTCCATTAAAGCTGTGTTCAGGCTTCCGGCCTTTTGCAGTGTCTTTCAGGTGGAAATAGCTGCCATTAAGGAAGCGGTAGACTCAAAAGCTTAAGTCAATTATTTAATAAGTTAAATTGAATATCAGAACGATGTGGGAGTTCACAACGATTTATTTCGAAAATATTTAAGTATATGGTTGCCACCTGTTAAACAAATTTTAAATCAATGTATCCAGAGAGAGAGAGGGTTAAGAAGTTTTAGTTACAAAATATTTTTGACGAGAGTTGCCAGTTGTTTAGAAACTCAAAATAAATTTATGTAACAAGTTTAATGAAATATTTTAATATGGATGTCAAACGGTAGAAGTTTAAGAAAGCTTTATTCCGTTAATTATATTTTCGAAGAAATATAGAAATTCTGAATCAAATGAATAAATAAGTTATATGAAGTATTTAAATATGGTTATCAAACGTTAAAGCATTTAAAGCTTTTTAAAAATTATTATTTTAAAGGGCTGCCACCTATCTAATAATACAAAATTCATAAAACTGACAAAGTAAATGATATAGTTCAATATGGGTGTCAAAGGCATTATTCTTAAAATATGTACGTACATTTGAAGAGAGTTGCCACCAGTATAACAGTTCAAATTCAGTTTCAAGAGTGATTAAATAAAATATTACAATACGGGTGTTAAACGAAAGAAGTGAAAAAACTGTTTCTCCATAAAATTTTCTGACAAGGGTTGCTACCTCTTTTAAAAGTCAAATAGTTTGATTAAATAGTTTTAAAAGCATTTTATAAAAGAAATGCCACAATTCCAAAAGTTTTGTAAATAAACTTTTTCCTTTTATGTTAAATTAAATATGACATTTTGGCGTAGGCATTGATATGAAACTAAGCTAAATCTTTATATACCCCACTTAAAAATTAAATAAGGATTAGAAATGGATTAGACAGGGCTAAGGATTACAGACATGTGTTAATGTTCATTAATATATTAGACCGTACCACCTTACTAGCAAACGAAAAAGGTCCTTGTACAACCCAGCTGGCCATTTCTGGTTTAGTGAAAACGTGAAGTGAAAATATTTTTCATCACTTTACATAAAATTACGATTCTGTTTTAGAACGGAAATAAATGAATATGTCGAAAAGTTTTCCTGATTGAAAAAAAACTGGGATATTTTTCGAAAAAAAGCACCATATTATGATAAATAATATCATTGGCTTAAACTCGAAATAATTTACCAAATAATTACTTGCTAGATGCTAATGGAAAAGCTTTCCTGATCGAGAATCGCTTAAAATGATTAAATGAACAAATTAAATTTTCACTGAAATTGAATTTTTTATTTGCACTTCTCCATTTCATAGAACGAGAATTGGCGCTCTGGGTGCAAAGTATTTTTGCCAGGAAATTATGAAATTGTTTATCTTTTTTTTTTGACGAATCTAGGGGTGGCTTTTTTTTACCATTTACGGTAATGAAAACATTTTTTTTTAAATAGTTCTACTGGAATAATCAAATACTTGTTTAGCAAAAGTTTCAGAATTTGTAAAGAAATTTATTTTACTGACATTAGGATGAAGCGTTAGGTGGATAAAGTACTAAGTACTAAGTAATGTAAGTAAAGTACTGAGTAAGTTAGGTGGATAAAGGTGGAAGTACTAAAACGCAGTGATTGAGGTAAATGAATTTTGGAACAAAAAAGCTGTCTCCTTGAGATAAAAATGGACTGCAATGCTGAAGAATGACAAAAATTGACAAAAGGGGACCTCTAGTAGGACCTTAAAACCCTGTTTTAGTGATTACCTACCAGATCTCAGCTCCTTCCACCACGACGTATAACCCTAATGTTAAAACCGCAAAAGCTAGTCTAAGCTTCTGCGACTTTTAAAAACAAACTTTATCAACTTTGCTACTGTATCCGCCACTATAAATTTTCGATGTCGCCGATGTTACCTTAATAAATCGACTTAAATTACTTTTCATCCTGCATACATATGTATACTAACACACACACCCCTTTGCATTTGCTTGCAGCTTCCGTGCAGGCCAGCCACCATGAACTGCTTTCGCTCAGTCCCTCCGATCATTCTGTGGTGCGATATACCAACGACTCGCTAATAGTCCAATGTCGTAGCTCAACATCAGAAGCGCAGTTGGTGTGGAAGTCGCCGAAGGGAGAAATAATTAAGGAGCACAAAGGACGTATACACATCGAGCAAAGTGCGCCAGGTAAGTGTGTGCGCTACCTTATTAGCGAGCGGCTTACCACATGCACGGATGCACAAGGCAGGAAGCACTGCGCACTTCGCACGCAGCGCAGGCCGCTACATGTGCGTGTGAATGTGTGCACTTGCTGTGACGGTAGCTGGCCCCTAGCTGCATACCGCTGGCTGGCTGCTATGTTAAAGTGTAGTTGCATTTACTATTTAAATGCCAATTAAGCGGCGTTGTTAACACAAATCATTGCTAATTTTCTTTCATGTATGTACCTCCTGTGACGCGCGCGCGCTCTCATCACTGACCAACAACAAATATGCGCTGGAACACCTGCTATCCTATCCGCTGCTGACTTGATGCCTGCGCGCCTTTTTGCGCGATAGAACAATTGAAAATTGTTTTTCTACACATTTCACTCGGCGACAAGGGCAAGTGGACGTGCGAAGATGCCAATGGCGACAGAGCGGAAAAGTCTTTCGATCTCATTGTCTACCGTAAGTAGCTAAGCTGAGTGCGAGCCATTGTGAAGCGAGCTAGGTGAAGTGAAGTGAAGTGTAGTGTAGAGCGTTAAAAGGCAAAAAACTTTTGAGAAAATGTTATTGTCTCAAATGTGCAAAAGGCCTGTTGAGGCGTCTCATTAAAGTTTTTATTCTTATCTAGTTTACTTTCTTTGTTGTAATGAGTTTCTGTAAAATTATTTCTATTGTTTTTCTTTGCCTTAGAAAAAATTGCTTTCGCTGAAAATTTCACCATTCTTACGGTAAAGGAAGGCAAGGATGCATTCATACGTTGCGAAGTGAAAGGCGAACCACAACCAAATGTCACCTGGCACTACAATGGACAGCCAATTATTGTTGAAAGTAAGTCCAATTAGTGATTTGACTGTGTATGTGAGCGGTTTACTTTATTTTATTTGCCGTCTTCGAGAACTTCGTAAATGGAAAAGTGCACAGTGAGAAATAAATATCTAATACAAACCGGGTTCTTCAAGTGCAAACAGCTCCCGGTAGGGGTAAAAATTGCGTTAACCCAGGGGAAAATCTGTCATAGCTCCTTGTGTGTACAAATAAATATTTTTAGTCTCAACCCTTTCCAAGAGTACTTCAGAATGCGTCAAATATACCTCAGACTAGTCAGTTGTAAAATGAACTGACTATGTATTCTGAAGTTCATTTGACGCTTTCTGAAGTGCTCTTGGAAAAGGTGTAGCTCAGCGTTATTTCAGGCCCATTTCAGGCCTACTTCGGAATAATTTCGGAACTAGTTTGGTATCGTTTTGGAACTTGTTTGGGATCATTTCGGAACTAGTTCGGGATAATTTCTGGTCCGTTTCAGAACCTATTTAGGACTAGTTCACGACCATTTAAGGCTTTAATTTTGGGACTACCTCTAGGCCATTTAGAGACTAATTCAAGACTATTTCGGGATTATATCGGGACCGTTTCGAGACGTGTTCATGACTTTTGCGGAACAATTTCGGGACTATTTCGGGATAATTTCGTGACCATTTTGAGACTAGTTCAGGACAACTTCGGAAACATTTTGGGACTAGTTCGGGATTATTTTGCGACAAGTAGGTAGGGATAATTCCGTCACCGTTTCTAGACTTTTTCGTAATCATTTCGGGAGAAGTTTCTGACTTTTTCAGCACCTTTTCAGGACTACTTCAGTATAAAATTTTGACTACTTCGGGGTGGTTCGAAACTAGTTAAGAAATGATCCCGAAATAGCCCGTAAGTATTTCCGACGCAATTACATAAAGATACTGGTCCTGATAATACAAATAAAATCAATTTAATTTTTAATTTCTTGTCTAACCTATTTATGGATGTACATAAGTTAATTTTAAGGATTTTTCAATATATTTCGTGTCCGATTTTTTCGGATTTTTTTGAGTTTTTTTTTAATGATATTTCGGGTTTTTACAGCAATTTTCGGCGAAAGCCTCTTATTTCGTATAATTTGAGATACGCTTTCGTTTCGGCTTTAAAAGTTTGCGGAATTTTTTCGTATACATATATAATGAAATTTACAGAATTTTTCTAAATCTTTCGATTTTTTTGGGATTTTTCATAATTTGTTCCGCATAATTTGGGATGCGTAGGTACTTATCGATATTAATTGGGAGCTTTTGATATTTTGTGTCTAATTTTTTCGTATTTTCGGGACTTTTCTGGATCCTTGGGGATTTTTTTAGCAATCTTCAACATTGTGATGGAACGCTTCGGATTTTTTCGGAAACATTCGGGTTCGAAATTTTATTTAAATTATAGATTTTTATTTTACGAGTGCCAAAAAAAGGTAAAAATTAAAAATTTCCGGTAGTTCTCTGTCCCAAAAAGCCAGACAAGTTTATTTTTGCCTTGAAATAGAAAATAGAAAAAAATGCAGAGTTTCTTAAAAACCTTAAAATTGTTTGCACTGCAGTTAAAAAAAATACACTTTCTCCAAAAAACCCAATTTCACTATATTGGATTTTCAGTGTGCACTTTACCAGTGATTACAACGATAAATGTACTCGCAATTCGAATAGAGACAGTAAAAACAAAATTCCATCTAATACATGTCCTAAATGTACAAGTAATCTTTGCAAAATGAAAAAATAAAGAATAAAATAGAATTAAAACAAAAAAAAAACCCAAATTGTATTGTATTCTTTGTTTTTACTTTTTTTTTTGCAGCATTTACAGGCAACACAACGAAATTTCAGATTCTGGCTGATGGATTACAGGTCCGCAAGGTAACGCAGAACGACACCGGCGAATATACGTGCCGCGCCTATCAAGTGAACACCATCGCTTCGGACATGCAGGAGCGCACCATTTTGATGAAAATCGAACGTGAGTAGGATGTTTACTGCCTATGCGATATGAGCAAATGCACACAGTACATACACATACATACACAAGTACATACACTGCCGGAACAAAGTATTGGCACAGCAAATTTTTTCACTATATATGCAACAAGTTTTATTCTTATATTTTTCCGCTAATTTTGTATAAAAATATAGCTCATTCTACAACAAGAAAAACATAAAACAAAAATTCCTAAACTTTGTGCAAAACTCGCGAAAATTGTGAAAATTTTCATGAACATTTTCAACTTTTTAATCAGATTTTTTAGAATTTTTTTGAGTAAGCAAGATTTGTAGCCCACTCAATTTTATTATAATAAAGTGCAAGTTTTAAGTAGCTAGGAATTACCGTTGATTTTTGGCATTTTTTTTTTCACGCAGTCTCTTCCATACAAAAAATTTTTCTAGAAAATACTTTATATGGAAAAAATGCAACACACCTTTAACAAAAAAAAATTCTCAAAAATCAACGCGATTTTTGACTAACTCCGAACTTGCATTTTTTTTATTAGAATTTAATGAGCTGCAAAACTGCATACTCAAAAAAGAATTCCAAAAAATCTGATTAAAAAGTTGAAAATTTTGATGAATAGTTTAGGAATGTTATTTTTATGTTTTTTGTTGTTGAATGAACCATATTTTTATACAAAATTGGCGCAAAAATATTAGAATTAAAAATGTTGCATATACATATTGTGAAAAATTTGCTGTGCCAATACTTTGTTCCGGCAGTGTACATATAAACCCACTGACACAATGCCATAAGCCATACTGACTTCCTTCCTTTGCCAACATTCGCAATGGAATGGAAGCAATTTTCATTTGAACTCACATGTCGCATATTGGCGGATAAGCTGGCGCCTCCTCTGCTGCCGCTGCCTACTAAAGCAGTACCACTCTTTCATTGTGCTTTTACTCTGTCACATATGTATGTATGTATGTATGTTGCCCGACAGTGCTGCAGCAGTTTTTGGCCATTTCCGTCAACGGATGGACATCTATCTCTAAGCTCAATGGCTAAACAAACCTAACTGTATTTATTTGTTATTTTTTGAGCGAACAACTTTTTTATTGCTTCTTGTTTTTTGTTGCCCTAGTATGCGAGACAAATAATCCAGTTGGGAAAAACAAAAGTTTTGCTTTGTAAATTGCATTGGATTTTTGTTGCGCAAATATTTCGTGTCATTTGTTTATACATATATTGGGTGGGTTCTTTTATTTTTTTAATGCTCTAAAATTCCGGGTGCTTTGGCTTCTGTATCTCCAGGTTTATTTGTTTGTTTGTTTGCGTTTGTTTGTTCACTGTGCTGCGCTGCGCTGCTTTTCAATTCATTCAGGTCTCTTGATTGTGTTTTCGTGACTCACGCAAACCAAAACCCGTACACAATTACAAACACGCCCATACTCACAGATTCGCAACCATGCCAGCCTGTGGCTTGCTGTTTGTGGGAAAAATTAAATTGAGGTGAATTTCCACGCCTGCTGCAATTTATTGTGTGGCTTTTGTGCGAAGGTGCATGCGTGGCGCTTTGGGCGAAATTCTGCGCCACCAGCGCTAAGCAAATTTGAGCTATGCGCGTTTCGTGCACTAAGTCGTGCGTCTTTTTACGATTTTGGATTTCTGAATTCGTATGTTGCTCTCGAAAATCTATTCTTCCACCTTTAGGTTACGTGCTGAGTGCTGAAAACGCAATTTTAATAGTTTTTTTTTTTATCGCTACTCTAGCCATTGAGCTAATTTTAATCGCTGTTGCTTATGATGGGATTTTGGGCTTCTTAAGCGATTTCCCATTCGATTTCCATTAGCGATTTTAAATTAGGGTTTTCACACTTTTTGCGATTTGGTTACAGCTTGCATATTATTTAGATATTGGCTTATCTAAACGATTTACGTGACTGAGAGTTATGCGTGTTTTGGAAAGCGGTTTTAAATTCGTTAACATATATATTTCTGAAGTATTGATACTTAGCACTTTTCGACAGTCGGCTGTGGAATTAATGAAACCCATTTTTCTGAATGTGTATAGGTATAGAAAACTAATTTCTCAGCTTTTCCAGGTTGGCAACTTTAAGGCTGTTTTTCACTATGTCAAATTCAATGGCATTTGTCGTCAAATAAGTGAAAACTCAATCTATCAATTGATTTAGATCAGAATAGGTCTTCAGTCGTGTGCATGTGGTGCTAAGTCCATATCTGTCAATTTTGGGCACATAATATAATCGGTAAAGGTACGAAAAAAGAGGATAAAGTTGTGTCAAAATGTGTTGACATAATTTGTTGTCAAAATATGACATAGTGAAAATCAGCCCTTAAGCGTTTTTTTTTTCAATTTGGAGTTGGTGGTCGCAGAGTAGAAGATATTTTAACAATTAAAATTTAAATAACTATGAAGTAACATGAACTTCCATATTTTTTGCATCAAAGCGGCTGTTTGTGGGGAATAAAAAGTGACAATTCAGTTCCCTTGAACCCTAAAACTAATAACAAATAACAAGTAATTTTTAAGCAAAGAACACCACCGACTTCAATTCTCAGATAAAAATGTAAGAGTAACGTTAATTTTTTCATGATCCAATGATCAGATCTAAACGAAATTTGTATTGCACCACCTGTGAGGTACTACCGTTCCTACACAAAAAGACTTAAAGAAATCGTCTCCTTTTTTAAAGTAGGTTAAAAAAAAAAGTATGTTTTATCAAAAATATTGAACATAACTTTGACTTTAAACTTAGAATAAAAAGGAAAAACCTACCCCCGCCAAAAAATATTAGGTTAGTGGTCGCATGGAGTCAGCACTCTGGCTGTGACAAATTTACGTACCCCACGGGGAGTTAGAAAGCTAGAAAGAGCGCGAACGCGCTCAATTTTTTCAGGTATAATTCTCCTAATGTTAATTTTTGGAAGTTTTCGTGTGAAAACTGTACTAAATATTTATCGGATCGAAAAAAAAAAATGTCAAGTTCGGATTCCTCGTACCAAAAACCCTCCAATACGGGTTTTCAAAGCCATAGGAAATCGTAAAATTTCGCTCAAAAACGGATTCCGCCAAAAAATTTAATTTGATTAAATGGTCTAACCTGGAAAAATTACTATCACAACTGAATTCAGTGTATCCGAATTGACTTTACTGGGTAGGTAGTCGGCATGTTCAAAATAAAAAGTTTATTTTCGTGCGCAGCTTTATTAGACTTAAGTTCAATTTTGCCTTTACTTTCAGCGAAAAGAAATTTACGTTTCTGTTAAAACCAAACAAATTACATTTGAAGTAAAGCAACTTTTGTTTCATTTAATTTGTACGTTTATAAATTAACTTCATATATTTATTTACTAAAACAGTCACAAACTATTTTTAATAGGCGTAGCTTACCTAAATTTGAGATGTGAGTCTTAGGGCCAGTTTCAGATTATTTCTCAGATGCCATTTCGCTTGCGTTGGGTTTCAAAACGCCTTTGTTTAAATTTAACAAACAAGTGGCAACACCGATGCTTGTTCTTTGAAATTGTGGTTGCATTTGTTGGTTTGTTTACATTTTGTGCTGAACGACTGATTGTTGTTTCTTATAAACACAGGGTTGCATGTCTCTATTTAAATAGCCAATTGGGTCCGGTTAAGCGCGGTTTAAATATATGATTTGAAAATGAATTCTTGAAGTTAATCAACAGTCGTAACTTAAATGGCTCATCTGAAATTGGCCCTTAATATTTTCTCTTCAGTTACGTAACTGTAGGCTCAATACTGTATTTTCGTAATGAAGCAAATTTTATGTAATAAAAAAGCATTTAAAACAGTTTCAAAATTGCTAACTGAAGGTAAATGCTGAAATTAATATAATTTTTCAATTGTACACATAAGGGTGCATCACACTTCATACAAAAAAATAATAGTTGGTATTGTTTTTCTGTATTTCGGAAAAATATTAAGATTTATGAAAGCTGGACCGAGTTTTTCATAAATAAAATAAGTTTATAAAAATAATTTTTTTTAAATCCCCTCAAATGATAAAAGAACAAGATTGAAGTGTGCGAACAAAAGTTCTACAATTTTATAAACGGAATCAAAGTAATGTAATCGCGTAAATATTAACATTTTCCGAAATATTTTTGGATAGCTTTAAAAAATAATAAATTAGTTTTATAGTCCCGAAAAAAATTAAAAAGGAACACAACTTTTTTTTGTGATGCATCTTAATGTACATTGGAGTGGTCCAATTTTTGTATGGGGGAACAAAATTTCATCCTAGCAAACGGGATCGCTGTGAAGCTAGCAAAAATTGGTAATTTTTATAAAATCCTACTGTTGCCATCCATTACCACCGACGAAGCTTGTGATATTTTTTTAGATAATTTAAATTTCTAATATTCTTAGGTTGCTTAACCAATTAGTTAATTAATATATGTATGTGCACAATTCTTCTAGAGTAAAGTATGAGCATCATGCACGCACTCTCTAAATCTATACTTAGAAACGTAAAGTTTGGTACCAGCACCTTTTTCGGGAGGAGGAAAATTTTTTTTTTTTACCACTCTAATGTACATACATACAAAAGTTTTGCATTTTTGCTTTCAATTAAATATTCTGTACTTGTTAACGTAGTTCTCTTAATAACTCTTGACGCAGTACATGCTTCATTGTTTTGCTAAATTGAAATTGGAAATAAAATTGCCCTTTAGGATCTTAGAGCATTTCATTATAATTTATTTTTTATTTTTTTTTGTGCTGCATTGAAATATACATACTAATAAAGTACTGCCTTTGTATTTTGATGCTATTCTTCAGAAATAAATTTCTCAAAAATATTTACTTGCTTTTGGAAAAGTCAATCACTATTATTAGGAATCACTATTAAGTGTCTGCAGACAGAGTAAAAACTGCTGAGGCGTAGAAGTTCAAGAGCTTCAACTCGGCAACACTTCTACTTGTTCGTACGGGTAGCCAGTAGAGTGAATGGAACGATGGACTCTACTTTATTAAGAGTAGCTGCCTTAGGGTACCCAAAATCCACTCATGCGAAAATACTTGAATGAAAAATTTATTGTTTTCTGTAAGTATGTATGTATGTATGTATGTGTGAACATAATTTCGTATGCATTTTTGTATAAAGATATGTATGTTTGAAGGTATGCATACCTCTAACGAATATACTCGTACTTCCAAATATCTACTATCCAACTCAATTCTATTTACATATTTATTAGTCCTTCTGGCAAAATACAATTATTTTGTTTGTATTATATAATCAAGGAATATTTCCATAAATTTTTCATAAAAATTCTCGATTTTCATAACTGCAGCGTTGGCGTTGGCTGTACAAAGTGTAGGTGTGTTCCATTAAAAAAAATTTCCAATTTTATGTAACGCAAAATTTACTATGTGAATTTGCTGTTGTTGTTGTTGGCATCTCAAATTTTCTGCCATATCCTTTGTATAGAGTTTTCACACTACTCCACAAAAACTTTGTATTGGAAATATTGTTAAGTTTAATTGATGTTGAGGGCGCATTTATACGAAGTATGAGTACTTACACGTTGCTTTATTGTTTCCTCGCCGCCACAACTACACTTGGTACAGCTTACTGCATTCTGGTTCACGATGAAGTTTTCGATTTTCAATTTTATGCACAAATGATTTTTGAATGCTTCAGGTGGTACGCAGTTGCTGGAAGTAGGTACTAACATGAAAAAAAATGCATGCACTTGTAGTGGCTATGGAATATTGCACGAAAATTTTGAGAAATAAAATAAAAGATTAGAATAAGAAAATAATAAAATCAACTCGAACATTAACGAAATTTAATTTAAGTGGACCTTTTTATCTTGTTCACCGAATGCAATAAAGTTCAATAGGTGCGGAAGGCTCACCTCTCTTTTCCATTTTTTCCGCTAGTTTTCTAGTTAGATTTGCATGCACCTTAGGGTGGTCCAAAAATGCATGTGAAAAAGCAGAGTCGAAATTTTTATGCTCTCACCCCCTATGATTGTTCTATACCGAAAAAAATAGACCACTATTTTTTATTTGGAAATCAAAAAAAATTCAAAAGTCGCCAAAAGAGCTCAAAGTTTTCCATGTATTTTATATGGCGGAAAAACCACTTTTCAAAGAAGTGGTATAGCATTCTTGAATGGTATGGAATTCTTGAAAATCAATATTTTTCGATCGGAAAAATCTTTTTCTCTTCAGAAGATTCCAATACCCAAATTTTTTCATGGTATATTTTATAGGTACGCCAAAACCCCCAGAAAATGCAATGGGGGATAAATAAAAAATCTTCAGTTTTTTAAAATGGTTAAGTAAACAATTGGATATTCTTATTGAAAGTCTCCTGAAGAGAACCATCGAAAAATATTGATTTTCAAGAATTCTATACCACTTCTACGAAAAGTTGTTTTTTCTCATACAAAATACATGGAATACTTTGAGCGCTTTGAGCGACCTCTAAATATTTTTTGATTTCAAATAAAAAACTAGTGGTATATTTTTCCATATAGAATAATTCTAGGGCGTGAGAGCATTAAAATTCCGACTTTACTTATGTTGGACCACCCCAATGTACATACATACATACGTACATGTGTATGGGTATCAGGCCCAAGGGCAGGAAACTACATGTAAAAATACTTTTTGCCGTCGAAAAAACCGATGGTGGGTCGAAAGTGGCCAAGGGAACTTCCTAGGCTGGATCACAAAGCCGCAACATTCAATTCCGGTAGATCTTTTGAAAAAACACTCTCCGATAATACATATACCTTCACTATCGCAGCTTCAATCTAAAATTATTTTTTTCAAGTTACATGCAGCTTTTGCGAGGCTGAAGTGTAATTATCGCGTATTGAAGACAGTAGATCAGCTGGCTACGAATGTGGGATCCTCTGCTTCAACTGGAGGGTCACCACATCCAGATTAGGCTTGGACCAATTCGTAACCTTGTTTTTCTTGGTGAAGAGTGGCAAAGTTGTATTTTCCGTGTTGATGCTAAGCTCAATGCAGTCTCCCAAAGTTGTGTATCGCTGCGTATGGACATACACTTTCCGCTTACTATAACTTACATAAATATCATCCACATATGCAGAAAGTTGGGCAGGTCTTCCCTCGATTTTCTTTAGTACTCTGTTAACCCCCAACGACCATAATAATTAGATGGCGTCACCAGTTCTCTTGCAAGGTTATCCCCTCCTGAAATGGATGCTGAAACGCTAGGTAATCTGAGCTCTTGAAAGCGGTAATAAGCCATTGATCAAAACATTTTCCTGATTCTGATCCTGTGCGGAACTTTTTTCAGCCTGAAAATAAAGCCAGTTTGGCTAATACTATCAAAACAATGTCGACAAGACTATAATCAATCTCTTATCTGAGTCTGGGGTGCTGAATTTAGACCCGTATTGTAAGTTTCAGAGTCATACTCTTTGTACTTTTTGCCTTTCACTAATAACAGTACGGCCTTTTGACCCCTCCTCATGAGAGCCTGGAACTAATTTGATTCATTGAAACAGTAATCACCGTTTCTTCTCGATAACCTTTCACTCACATCCGCTGATTTCTGATTACTTAGCGTGCGTGCATGACACAGCATTTATACCTCTTTTACCCCAATCGGGGTCATCGTGCACCATACACCAGGCAATCATTGCAGCCACCTACAGCTTTACAGTCATTCACCTAGGCGCGGCCATTTTCTCCTACGCAATCGGTAGCCGCCGATTTCCATTTGCATTTCCATTTCCATGCTATCAAAATTTCATCAGCTTCAACAACCAAAAACCAACAATCACTTATGCGCTATTGGAATACACACACACACACACACACAAATATATACACATACACACCTGAACAAATGAATAGTACTATGTAGTCCTCACACACACACACACATACAATAACCACACCCTGCTTATTTGGCATTGTTGCAGATAAGCCATTCTGGATGCACAACCATCATATTTCACTGCAGTATGTCTATGTCAATGGCAGCGTGTCCATACCGTGTCAGGCCATCGCTGAGCCGCCAGCCAATTTTACCTGGTACAAGAATAGCAACAAGAAACGTTTGCGCAACGACAAACACTACAGCTTCGAGACGGATTATTATGCATCCAATTTGACGATTCAAGCGCGCGACGATAGCGTATACGACACGTATCGCTGCCTAGCAGAGAACAATCTGGGCGCCATTGAACGCAGCACCGTATTGGAGCGCGGTGTGAAGCCACCACCACCGACGGTGTTGCAGTTGCGCGGCTTCAATTCGAATACGTTCGATGTGGATGTGGGTTCGGTGCGCACTTCGCCGGTGCGTAAATTGATGGAGGTGAATGGATTTCGTATTGAGTATATGACGGAATATGAATTCAAATCAGATGCAGGCAAATGGACGAATGCTAAGCGCAGAGATTTTCCATTCGAAGATGGTAAGTAAAGGGGTTGAAGTGGGCGGGGGAGAAGGGAGAAGTGATGCGGTTTTCCGGCGTCTATGGGGCGTAGAAGGAAATGAATGATTGAAAGCGTTGCTTTAGAAAGTAGTTGTAGCAAAAGGCTTTGCAAGTGCTTAGTGCGCGAATTCGCCTTATGTTAATAAAGTATAAGCGTGAAAATTTTGAGGCGCTAAGCATTTTGCGGAAATTATCTCTGAATTGCGTTGGGCGTTTTGCTTTACAACAGTCGCTTAGCAATCAATCCCTGCCTACTGCTTACCTGCATATCTATAATTGCGCACTTCACTTACTCTCCTCACTCCACTATGTACTTACTTATTCGCGTTTATTCCATTGCAGGCGCAACTTTTCTCATCAACAATTTGGAAGCCAACACCACCTATTTGATGCGCGCTGCAACTAAAAATCTCGCCGGTTTCAGCGATTGGACAAAAGTGGAAAGATTCCGTACAATCTCCAATGAGCCGCCATCATCGTCGACGCGCTTGGCGCACTTGAGCGCCGAACAATTGTTGTGCATATCGCTGGTGGCGTTGTTGTTGTGCAAGGAATTGTCATTCGGTTTTCAACCAGTTGCCAGTATAACAAAGCTACGTCGCGCTGCAGGCGTGCGTTGGTGAAGCGTGCGTCAGTTGGTGGAATTGCAACTATTTAGATATGTATGTATGTAGGGGTTTCTACTGATAAAGTCTAGCAGCAGCGTAGAAGAGGTGGGGATGGTTGATGGTTGAGAGAGAGAGGGTGGCATGGGTTTCATGATAGTGAAAAATTATTGATTAGCGCTAAGGATTAAAGAGTTTGAAATATTTAATTTAATTTAAGTAAAAATAAGAAGAAATGAAAATAGAAACAAAAACAAGAATAATTAATCAGACATTTAAACTATTATTTAATCAAAAATTTTAGTAAACCAATGCAGTTTAATATCACATAGTTTTCTCATAATTTTTTTTTTAGTTTTTTTGTTTAGTTAAAGCTGTGGAATTGCGTGTGAAAGTAATTGCATTATTAATGCCAGTCGTAAGAAATCGACGGTTATGAAAATATACATATGTATGTATATTAGGGTGGACCTTAAATGTAGGAAACAAATTTTTACATCAGATTTCCTAAGCCTCAACCCCTACGTCGATCTACTATAGTCCAAGATATTACATACAATTTTTGGCCCCGATTGGAGCCGGCTAAGGCGTGGCGCCTTATGTGATATTTTTGACTACGGTACTATCGATTTTGGGTATGAGTTGGCAAAAAATGTATTTTAATTTTTTGAGTCTCTATAGAGGAATCTGAACTTTGACCCCTGTGCGACACGCCTTAACCGTCTCCAATCGGGACCAAAATTTGTATCTGATATCTGTGACCGTGGTATTACCGATTGAAGGGATGAGACTGAAAAAATCTCTCATTTGATTTTTTAAGGACCACCCTAATGTATATAGTATAACAACTTTAAGTTTTCAAATATGCCGAAAAAAGTTTCGTCTATGGCTTATTTTTATCAAGTGGTTGAATAATTTGTGACAAAAGATATGGAATTTGAAAACATTATTATTTTGTGAGTCACAATCAGTGTTGCCAGTTTTTTTTCAAAATTTGTAAATTTCCAAAAAAAACTGTAATTTTCGAAACTTACTCGATAGCCAATGGACCTCAGATTTGGGTTCAGTAGGTCGAAACACACGTCGATGAAATTAAGGTTTTTAGATTTTATTAAATATAAATCACATAATTCAATTAACTTTGAATAAAATAACATTAACAATTTAAGTTACACTTAACTAAAACAAAACAGACTTTATAACTGCAGCACTTGAATCACATTTTGTTTTTAAGAAAATTAAGGGTCATAATTTTTTATAAATTTCTTTGTTAATTTGTTTATGCATTTGATTCGCTACTTTAAATTTACCAGATAGTGCTGGATTTTTTAATTTTTGCTTTATCCAAATTGAGTTTAGAAAATATTCTTTCCACATTTGCTTATGTGACTGGAATAAGTGTAAACGCAAACGAAAGAGTCGTTTTAATTTATTCATTCCAATCTGAAATTCCAAAAAAAAAAATGGTAATTTGTTTTAGGAGGTAATTTAAAAAACTGTGAACTTTTTAAAAAACTGTAATTTATAGTTAAGACTGTGAATCTGACTTCTATTCAAATACCAGTGTAACAAAAATAAATTCATAATGTTTGCCTATAATTCAAGACTTTATTTAGCAAAGTTAAGATGCCCTCATCTACGTAAAATAAATGCCGCTTTGTTCGATAGCTTGTTACCATTATGAAGCTAATATCATTATATATAAATTTCGCATAAAAGCCTTCTCCTTAACCCTGCTTTGATAACCTATGTCTGCGAGACGCTCTCTTTTCGTTTTCGTTGTCATTTCCGAATCGATCCCTAACTGTCAAAAAGACGTAAGCGAAATTTAATTTAAATTTTATTTTTGATGCTGAAATACATCTAAAAGCTGCAGAAACATTTCTGCATTAAAAGGAAAGTTTTGAAAAAAATTTTAATTGCGTCTTTTTGGTGATTAGGGCTCGATATCTTCGAAGAAAAAAAAATCCATAAAATGTTGATTACCATAAAATTATAGCAAGTAAGCCATGATACGTCTCACAGACTGATGGTTATCTTCCCACCAAATTTTAGTTGGGTTATCAAACCAGGGTTAATGACAAAATACTAGAACAGGCGAATTTATTTTACAGGAAATCCTTATCTTTTGGTAATCCCTTGAATCATAAATGGGTGAGTTATATTGCGTTTCAAGTAAAAAATAATAATGGATTTATTTTTTCTATACTTAACAGCGGGCGTTGATTACATGTCTTTGATTCAGAATGCTATATATTTACGCGGTGTAATGAAATTAAGACAATTACACAAGCTTTTAATCTGTGATGTATGGCATCAAAGTAGTTTAATTTGCAAAACATTTTTCTAACCCCCTGAAATCCTTCATTTATTCATAAAAAAAAACAATTAGAGATGCACATTTAAATACTAAATTTATAACAAATATTTAGTATATATAGAACTAGCAAATACCCGGCGTGCATCATTGCGCCAGAAAAGTAATTTTGTGTTGTTATTTACTCCCTCCCAAAACTCTTATGGCCTCATTCATAAAAAATAAAATAGAATAGAATATAATGAAGGAAGATGTAATGGAATATTTCATTTACTTTATCAATTTAAAAGAATAAAAATTTTCATACAAGTGGAAACCCCTCAAAAATACTTTCGACGGTAAATGCTCCTAAACCTCCTTAGTTTGATATCCATATTGAAATATTGAATTTATCTTATTAATTATATTAATTTAAAATTTTTAACCATGTGGTGACCTTCTACAACAATTTATTCGTTTGTACAACTTGTTGAACCTCTTTCTTTTAAAGCCATATTGTTATATTTAATTCTTCTTAACAATTTACCTAAACTGCAATTTTCAAAGAGCTGGCAACCCCCTAATTTTGCTTCTTCTCTATTTTAAGTTAGACTTGAGGCAATAAATCGGTGAGAATTTCATTCGATTTCATTTATTAGTTTTCGAGTGATTCGCGTACAAACATACAGATAGATAGACAGACAAAAATTGTAATAATTGTTGATTTGGCTGCTGTTGCTCTAATAAGGGCCCCCATATTAATTTTTCTTTAATATCTGTAATGCACAGACATCAGCCTGTTACAATTTTATTATATGTTTAGGTTAAAAATCTGTGCAATATTTTTTTTTGTTTACATTTATATGAAATAAATGGCTAATTGTTGATAAATATGTAAATTGGTTAAAAATTTAGGTGTGAAATAAATATTTGTAGAGAAATTAATAGGATCGTTTGAACACCAATTGCCCATTCAGCTACATCAATGCGGAAGAATAAATAAAATTTTAATAAAATGTTGAAGCATATACATACATAGATTCCTACTTCCATACATGCATACATACGTTCACTACGTTACGAAGTACACCGGATAAACCTATAAAAGAGATATATGTATATGTATTTAAAATTTAAATAACTAATCCAAAAGTGTTGAAAAATTATATATTTTAATTAGATAATACACTGACTCAATTATTCAGATTGCGATAAAAATTTATGTTTACACAAATAAAATAAAACTGAAAATGAAATTGATATATTGCGAATTTCAAATGTTAGCTATGAGTAAAAAAAAAAAACAAAACAACAATCGCAGCAACAATAATAAAACTTACACAACCAAATGTAGAGGGCTTTAGGATTTAATGCATTTTATTATAGAGAAGCATTCAACTCCATTTATAGTACACTTACATATACATATGTATGTACATACATATATAGTACAGCTATTATTGTAAATGTAAATGAAATATTTGTATGCCGTACTCCTTATTAGCGGTGTCCAGTGTCCAACTGTTTCGAACACTAATTGTTGTTATGTGCCAAAAAAAATTATAGCCCCACTCGAATATATACCATATATATATATATATAAAATTTTATGATATGCTTGTACAACGCAAATGTGTGTGTTTACATTTAGAAAATTGTAACAAAATGTTTGTAACTGAATATATTTATACGTATTTGTATTAATTTAGAAATTTCAACGCTATCTACGAACTAACATAATTATAAGGCATTGCCATTAATACTCAAAAATACATACAAATTTCAGCAGCGTAAATACAGAACGGAGCCGGAAAATTTTGAAAACCAAATTATAGAATACATTTACATACCAATTTGCATTTCGTGCCAAAAATTTTAATAAAATATCAAACAAATAAATTATAACATACATATAACGTATATAAACATACATATATGTATGTACATATGTATGCATTAATTAAAATCAAAAAGGATGAAACCCCGAAAATGTTTTCTGCAGACCAACACAAAATCTAAACGCATAATTAACTCGCATACAAACAAACAAACAAGCATACAAACAAGCAAACAAACATGATGTCCATGTTCATTGTATGTATGTATATACATTAAATAATAGCATTGTATATTCAGCTGAAAAATGTCCAGCCATTGTGTAACGAAACGGAAATAAACTGAAATAAATTATTTGTATAAATGTAAAATATTATTTTGTTGTTTTTATTTGCTTTCCTCTGCAGTGGCGCGCGAGTCATGCTGCGCTTGCAACAAATTAGCTCATATATTTTATGCGAAGCCAACAATAGATGAGCTGACGTGGCTAAAAAAAAAAGGTGTATAGGTACGGTGTTGTGTGCGTGGGGAACTGCAAACCAACAAGTAATTTTTAGCAAAAAAAAAACCGACTTCAACTCTCATATAAAAAAAATATATATATATATCTCATGATCCGCTGATCAGATCTTAACCAGATTAGTATGGGACCACCTCTGAGATACTACCTTTCCGATGCAAAAAGAATTATCGGTTGACGTGGTCCAAAGTTATGCGGTAACATACATAAAAAAAAAAAAAAAAAAAAAAAAATATTCCGACGAACTGATAACCTCCTCCTTTTGTGGAAGTCGGTTAAAAAGTGGTTACTAAAAGCTCCAATTAAGTAGTTTATAGGTGGCAACACCATGCACCAATTTACTTAGTATTAAATATTATTTAATACAGGTGGCAACCCTACTCACAATTAATTTTTTGTGTTCTTACTCCTTCCCAAAACCCTTGTGGCCTCATTCTTAAAAAAATTAAATAGGTTTAAATAGTCTCATTTTCGTTGTTGGTGTTTCCGACAGGGTAGGAGTGTGATATAATGTGGCACGATTTTCCGTCATCCCTTGTCAAATTTGGTTTGGAGACAAACCGGTTTCGGCGTTGTGCCTTGTTCAGTGTCATTTTTCGAGAGAACGAATCGTGG